GAAACTTTATTCAGGAATCAGAAACACGAGCCACACATCAAAGCTCACGCAGCCAGCTGCATCCATCCAGGAGTCTGGGTGCTGGTCTATAAAAATGGTAAAAAGTACATTACAAAAAAATTTTAAAAAAGAAAAATTACCATTTATTATAAGGACTGGAGGGAGCTCCTGCCCTCTGGGCTCACCCCAACTTCCCAACATTTTATTCACACCAGAGACATGTTCAGAGATGTTGCAAAGAGCCAGCAGCATTATCAAGTGGCAGGTGGATGGGATGGACCACAGGTGCCCACTGGGTCTGATGTTTGGTGATGGTGTGATGGGCCTGTTCTAGAACATTCCAAATGGTGGTTCCATTTTGACTCTGGGTCTGCCTATGCTGGCACCACCAAGATGCTTACCAGATGTGGTATTTTTTTTTTAACTTTTATTGTTACTTGTTCTAACTAGTGACAGCAGAATGCATTTTGACACATTGTATACAAATGGAGCACAACTTCTCATTCCTCTGTCTATACACGGTCCAGAGTTCCACTGGTCGTGCAATTACACATGTAATCACACATTCCACCATCTTTCCCACCCCACACCCCTCCCTCCCCTCCCTCCCCTCTGCCCAATCCAAAGGTTCTCCATTCTTCCTTATCACCCACCCCCATTATGGATCAGCATCCACTTATCAGAGAAAATATTTGGGATTAGCTTATTTTGCTTAGCATGATATTCTGCCAGCTCCATTCATTTACCTGCAAATGCCAAAATTTCATTCTTTTTTAAGGCTGAATAATATTCCATTGTGTTATATACCACATTTTCTGTAAAAATCCATTTATCTGTTGAAGGGAACCTAGGTTGGTTCTATCGCTTAGCTATTGTGAATTGAGCTGCTATTAACATTGATGTGGCTGTGTCACTGCAGTGTGCTGATTTTAAATCCTTTCAGTACCGAGGAGTGGGATAGCTGCTTCAAATGGTGGTCCCATTCCAGGTTTTCTGAGAAATCTCCATACTGCTTTCCAGAGTGGTTGCACCAAATTTGCAGTCCCACCAGCAAGTATGGGTGCACCTTTTCCCCGAATTATCCTCACTGACACTTACTGTTGCTTGTATTTTTGATAGTTGCCATTCTGACTGGAGTGAGATGAAATCTTAAGCGTAGTTTTGATTTGCATTTATCTAATTGCTAGAAATGATGAACATTTTTTCGTATATTTGTTGATCGATTGTATTTCCTCTTCTGTGAAGTGTCTGTTTGGTTCCTTAGCTCATTTATTATTATTATTATTATTTTGGTGTTAAGTTTTTTGAGTTCTTTATATATTCTGGAGATAAATGCTCTAACTGAGGTGCGTGTGGTAAAGATTTTTTCCCATTCCCAGGCTCTCCCTTCATGTTATTGTCTCCTTTGCTGAGAAGAAGCTTTTTAGTTTGAATCCATCCATTTATTGATTCTTGATTTTACTTCTGTTCTCGTGCCTAAGTCCTTGATCCACTTTAAGTTGAGTTTTGTGCAGGGTGAGTGATAGAGGTTTAATTTCATTTTGCTGCATATGGATTTTCAGTTTTCCCAGCACCATTTGTTGAAGAGTCTCTCTGTTCTCCAATGTATGTTTTCGGTGCCTTTGTCCAGCATGTATGTGGGTTTGTCTCTGTGCCTTCTATTCTGTACCATTGGTCTAATGTCTATTTTGGTGCCAACTTCATGCTGTTTTTGTCACTGTAGCTCTGTAGTACAGTTTAAGGTCTGGTATTGTGATGCCCCTGGCTTCTCTCTTCTCGATAAGGATTACTTTGGCTATTCTGAGTCTCTCTTTTTTTCCCAAATGTATTTCATAATTGCTTTTTCTGGATCTATGAAGAATATCATTGGAATTCTAATAAAAATCACATTAAATCTGTATAATGCTTTTGGTAGTATGGCCATTTTGACAATATTAATTCTGATTCTTTCTCCTCCTGGTGTCACCTTAAATGCCACCTCCTCCGGGAACTTCTCTGTGACCACCTCCCCAAGGACATCCTGCTTTTCCCTCCATAACGCTTGAGCTGTCTTCTTTACTGGTTCCCGACTTAGTCCTCCAACCCCTCCCTCTGGAATGTGAGCACCTGCCAGGAGGAGTCTTACCTTATCCCTCATCACAGTCAGCAGCACAGAGCCTCATAGGCACGAGGTGGCCGAGGTGGCCGGCACCCACTTGTGAAGAAATGAACGCTTGGAGGCATGAAGCCTCGAAGCCAGAGGAAGCGTGTGGCTGGCAGCTTGCTCCCCCGCCTTTGGTGGCAGCGTGTGACATGCATCTAGTTTGCGGAGCTCACAGCCACTGTGCGGTAACAGGCCCCAAACCAACTTCACCAACCCCGGCTGAAAACACAGATCAACCCCTAATCAGCAGCCCACACTCTGCCTCCGAAAAGCCTGCTCCTCGCAACTGTCCTCTCAAGAAACTAGCCCCCATCTCTCTTGCTCCTGGCTTCCTCCACCTCTGGAAGGCTCTTTGGAGGAGGGAGGAATGTCACAACAGGTTGTCACTCTGACCAGCAGGATCCCAGATCACACCCCAAGCTCTGGACACCTTTATTCCAGCCCACTCTGCCTGCCTCAGTCCCAATCCGGCTGGGCCGACCTCCTAGAGCAATCCCGCAGGCAGAGTGGAGTTAGGCGCTACCCCGCCGGCCCCGCCCCCATCAGTGTGGACCCGCATCCTCCTGTTGGGGAGGGGAGATGGCACAGCCCTCAGAGGGTCCCCAGTTCTGGGCAGTTGGTCCTAGAAGAGCTCCTTCCCTGGGTCTGGGGGGAGGACTGCCTCTTTCCAGATGCCTGTGCTGACCCCTCCCTGGCGGAGCTCACGGCCACCTTATTCCCAGGTCCCCACTGCCCCTCTCCAGCCTCTCTCTCTGCCACCTGCTCCCCACGACATTCCCAGGAAGAAGCTGATGGAACTCTCATTCCCAAGCACGCCACTGTGTCTGTCTGTCTGTCTGTCTCCCTCTGTCCCCACAGCTGCTGTCCTTTCTCACTCTCTATCTTCCTCCTCCCTCTCTCCCCCCTCCACCCCCTGTTCCTCCCTCAAGGCCCTCCTCTTACCCGACCCCTCGGACCCCTACTCGTCTTCCTAGGCTTAACCTATGCATCCGTCAGTGATAGTGAGCACCGAGCAAGTGCCCAAGTGTTTCAGATGCTGGGGACACCGCTGTGCACAAAGCAGACCTTGCACATTAGCAAGAAAAGACAGAAATACACAAGAGTGTGGCTAATGCTATGGAGAAAAATAAGGCTGGGCAAGGGGAAGAAAGAGAGAGAGAGAGAGAGAGAGAGAGAGAGAGAGAGAGGGAGTTGGAGGGAAGGCTTTTGCAGCGGGGAGGAGACACCAGTGGCCAGGAAAGTGGCCTTACAGAGGAGGTGACACTTAAACAAAGCCATGGGGTTGTTGAAAGAGCTGGCTTTGGGGATCGCCTAGGGAAGAATTTCCCAGGCAAGGGGAAGAGCGAGTGCAAAGACCCTGGGGTATGAGCCTGCCTGTGAGTTGGAGAAATGAGGAAGCTGGGCTCTCCCAGCACCCTGCATTCTCCCACACCAAAACATCATTCAGTTTGTGCTGTAGTGTCCCCCACAGACTGGGAGCAACTTGAGGACAGGGATTGTGTCTTTTATTTTGATATCTCTAGGATCCAGTATGGAGCATAAGACACATTTATTGATGACTTAGCTAATCAATGCCTGAACGCACTAGACTGTGAGCCCTGAGGATGTCCCAATCATCTGCATTCCTGGAAGGACCTGGTACACTGTATGACACAGGCTGAGTCCTAGAAAAAAAAGTTGAATGACTAATAGAAATAGCCAACGCTTACTAAGCACAGATACAATGCTAACATTTTTTAAATGCCTTATCTTATTCTATCCTTTAAAAGATCCTGAGATTCATACTGTTATCATATTGTTACATTGAACTGTTTGCCCAACCACTTTTCAGTTTGGCCCACAGATTTCTCTGTATGTACTGAGATGAAATCCAACTTGATGTGCAAACAGACGGTGCTTACTAAGGATAGTCACCTACTCCTATAAACACTGAGTCTCCGCCAAATAAACCAGACCCGAGCCAGAATCAAGAAAAACCAACAATACCTCCCCTCTGAGGACCCTTCCTTTTCCCTGGCTGTACATGCAACCTGCCCACGTAGTAGGGTGAGGCATTCTGAACCGTTTTTCTCTCTGGACTGCTGCCCCACCCTAGAATCAAAACAGCAACAGCAGCAGCGACGGATGCCGGTCAAGATCGACAACACAAGATTTGGGTCATTTTCTCTTTTAATGATACGCACCTTGCAGATTGGATCAGAGAAGTTCAGAGAAGGACTGGCTCCCCGCATCACCCAGCAGGGCAGTGGCAGAGTTCTGAGTTGAGCCTGATCCCTTGGACTCCAAGGCCACGTGTACTTAGCCCAAAACTAAGAGCCTTCCAGAGACAGGGGTCAGGGAGCCGCGGGAGAGGAGGGCTGGACGGAGGGTAAGAAAGGCCAGGAGGGCACTGCGCCATCTCTGGGTGCCTTTGTTTGTGCACGAAGTGGCTGCCACACAGTGGGTGCTCCCAACAGTTAAGGGGATTTAAATAGACGCTGACGATTCCTTTCCCAAAGGGGAATGTTTTCTTGTGGTTTGGGTCAGAGAGAGATTCAGTCGAGGCCTCAGATTAACATAAACACAGTCCTCCCTCACCCTGTCTGTGACCCTGCCCTGGCGTGGCCTCTCTTTAGGGAATGATTTCTGAGCAGCCTCTGCCTTCCCTTTAAGAGTGGCCTGGCTTTAAGAACTACCCCAGCCCTCAGGGTCTCACAAATGATGGTAAAGGACCCCAGCGACCCTAGAGAGATCCTCTGGCAGGGACTCTGCCTGCCCACCCCTTCCAGGGGCCCCTTTCAGGGTTCTCCCTCCCCAGCTGGGGCCCCAGCTGCCCTCCCTGCCCCCCAGCTGGGGCAGCCCCTCCACCATAACTGACCTCTTTGGCCTGGTCTCAGGTCCTGCTTCTGGGGCCTGTCCCCATGCGCAGCCTCATCTGGCAGAACCTGGACCCCCAGGCCCCTCAGGCTGGCAGCCTCCAGCCAGGACATTGGGATCCACAGGTCGGGGATCTTGGGAGGGCAGACTCCTGGCTTCTAGACTCCCAAAGCTGTGAAGGGAGCAGGTGCTAAAGACCGACCTGGGGAGGGTGTCACCCTGCTCAGCCCCAGCTGCCCTCAGAGATGCAGGAAGTCCAGCAAAAACAGCCTGGTGTGCTGGCTTCCCTGCCAACGGGGCCTGGGCAGCTACCCAGAGCATTCCAGCGCATGTCGGTGGGGGGACGCAGGGGGAGGCCTGAATTATCCAGGTCACGGCCTTATCCACATCACAAGCCTTGCTAATCCCTTCAGTCCCAGGTAACCCCCACCTTGGCCCTGTGCTCAGAACTTTCTTAAAGATCCGACAGCCTGCTAAATGTCTAGACTATGAGGACTTGGGGCTCCTTGGTCTTGGCCAGGACAGGAGCATGAACACAGAGCCCGGGGACGGGATGTCCCAGGTTGCAGGAAAACAGAGGGGAGTTCCAGGAGCCACAGGGGAAGCAAAGGTGCTTCTAGAAGTGAGTTCTGAGAGTAGACACCCCTGGCCAGATATGGGCTGGGTCATGCATTCAAAGATCATTTCCCAAGTACCAGCTGTGTGCCAGTCTCTGGCTGGGGATCAGAGACGAATAAGTTGAAGTCCTTGCCTTTAGGGGGCTCAGAATTTCATTGTGGAGACTGCACACGGACCTGCCACCTAAAGCATTGCAGAAATGAAGGAGAGACAAGCCTGGAGCAGGTGGAGGGACACCTGCCCAGACAGAACTGGCTGCTAGTAACAGCAGCATCAGCCACAAGTGGCAGTTAACACTCACTGATTGCTTCCTGTGTGTCGGTCACTGAGCTGGGCACCACATCTGATCTGTCCCCTGTGATACAGATAGAGACTCCAAGGGAGGAGAAGTGTTCCTACAGATGCCCCAGCTCACAGGGCTGACTAGAGGCTTCCCTCGTCTTATAAGGGCTCTGTGTCTATTTAGGTTGGCGGCTTCTAGTTCACTAGTGTCTTTGACACAATACAAATACTGATCATTTTATTTAATTTTTTTTTTTTGTACCAGGGAGTAAACCCAGGGCCTTTAAACACTGAGCCACATCCCCAGCCCTTTTTTTTTTTTTTTTTTTGTATTTTATTTAGAGACAGGGTCTTGCTGAGTTGGTGAGGCTGGCTTATTGGTGGGGAGGGCGAGGGCTAGCATCTCATTAAGGGGTTCTTCTTCCTGCCCAGGGTAATCCCAGCCACCCTAAAATTTACAATCTCAAATAATTAGCAAAAAACTAAGCACAAATAGTCAAAATATATTTACAGAAAGCAAAGCCCCTGATAGATCAAGTCCACATGGGTTCTGAAACTAGACAAAAGACAAAATGACTCTGGTGGTTTATTTAAGGGGGGTACATCAAAGGCAGGGGTAAGGGTTCAAGGGCAAAGTCTTGCTTCATGATGTCTCACAGTGGGCAGGGTGATGGGCATCTTGGCAGGTCACACCCATCTCAGGTGCAGTGTGGGAACTTCAGCAGAGCTTGAGGAGGAAGTTCACCTGCATCGGGCGGTCAGTCCCTGTGACTTATCCCCTCAGGAGGCTACGATGTGCAGCAGTCCACACACAGCCCACGGACAGCTCTGACACTGGCTGTGAAACCGAAATCTTTTTCTTTCTCCTGGTCAGAAGGAAAGTGACTTAAAAACAATCTAGAGATGGGTAAAGTTAAAACTGAAACTCCTCTATGATTCACCCCAGATAACAACTATTAAGAAAAAAATTTTTTATTTTCCTTTGTTTTGGGTTTTAGGGGATTTCTTTATTTTTTTTGGGGGGGGGTGGAGGGTTGTTTGAAGATTTAAAGTTTTACATACTTAAGTTGACCTTCCTCATAGGCCCCTGCCCCTCCTGTTCTTTCCTTCTCTGTCCCAAGACAGCCAGATGGCGAAGCTGCTGTGTGTCACAGTCTGGGATTCTGTAAACAATGTGTAACAGTGTTTCCTGTTCTTTATTTTACATTCATGGGATGATAATTCTCTTAACTACTTGTAACTTTCTTTATTCACCGTGCCTACATCCTCACCTATAGATCTGATTTAGTCTAAAGTATGTATTGAAAAGTGAAATGTTACATCGTGGAGTACTCACATTTTCTCCAAATTTTTGTTTTGAAATATTTGAAATTACTGAAAAGTTGCCAGATGAATACTGCAATTAATATTCATAAAAACTTCAGTTCACCAATGTTAACATTTGCTATAATTGCTTTACTTCTCTCACTCATGTACACATTTGAGGGTCGATTGTTGGCACTTTGTTCCTAAATAATTCAGTATGCATTATCTGAGGACAAGAAATTCTTACATAATGCAATATAATTACGACACTCAAGAAATTTAACATTGATACAATACTGTTATGAATACACATCTAAAATATCTAATGTCCATTTTTTTCCCTATTATCCCCGTAATGCCCTTTATAAACAATCTGTTTGCTTTTTCCCATGCTAGAATTCAAGTAAAATCAGACGTTCCATTTAGTTGTACTTATTTTTTTATTTTTTAAAAATTAAAAAATTTTATTTTTCTATTAGTTCATTGTAGTTGTACATATTGGGGTTCATTTTGACACAATTATATAAGCAAGGAATATAATTTGCTCTATTCAGTCCCCAGTACTTCCCCTTTCCCCCAACCCCACTGTTCCCTTTCTTCTTCTCCACTGATTTTTCTTCTTTTTATTTACAGTTTTTTTTTTAAATAGTACCTTGAAGATTTAGTTGCTATAATTCTTTAATTTCCTTTAATCTAGAAAGGTCTTTCTTCGACTTTTTAAAATTTTATTTTACATTGACACTTTTGAATCCAGGCCAGTTGTCTTGTAGAAGGTCCTGCATTTGAACTTGTCTGCTCTTCCTGCTGGTTATCAGGGTAAGCATTTTTAATAAGCTGCCTCATGGGTCAGGAGGGCGCAGACACATTTTCAACCTATCAGGCCTTTTCTGGAATGCTCTCCTCCAGGGGTGGACCCCGTTCCCACCCGCCACACCCACAGCCGGCCCTCAACAGTGTCACATTTATCCGTTTTCCCTAGTCAATGAGTATCAAATCCCATTGCTGTTTGAAGTGGCTTCCCTGGCTGTTAACGCAGCTGAGCATCTTCACAGTTGCTTCCAGACATTTGGACTGCATCTCTAATGAGCAAGACTGCTCATTCACCTCCGTGTGAACTCTGAACCCATTCGCCCCCACCTTGTCCTGGTCCTTCCCTACTCTGCTCTGTGGGAGGGGAGGTTGCAGAAGATGCTCCTCAGCTTCCAGAATGGGCTGCCTGCAGGAGGCGGGAAACTGGGGGGCAAGCCCACATTCTTCCGCTCTACATCTTGCAAATATATTCTCTAAACGTGCTTGTTGTCTTTAACTTTATTCGTGGCATCTTTCATAGCACAAAAGCTTTAAAATTTTATGTCATAAAAGTTACCAATCTGCTTTTAGCGTCTTTTGAAAAGTTCTTCATGACAATAAGGTCATGAAGATATTCTTCTGAATTTTCTTCTATTAGCTCTAAATTTTTAGGTTTTGACATTTAAGATTTTCATCCTTAAATCCATTTGAAGTTTATTATTGTCTGTGGTGTGGGGCTGAAATTGAATTTTGTTTCACTATAGGGAAGGGCAATTGGGCCAGTAACTTTTTTTTTTGACCATGTAAACTTTCCTATTTTAAAAATTAGTTGACTAATAAATTTTTCAGTGTTGGGGATGGAACCAAGTGTCTCACCCACATTGGGCAAATGCTCTCCCACTGAGCCACTCCCCAGCCCCTGGTCTCTCATTTTAATAATCCTCCATCACATAGAGCTCCCACCTACTATTGGTCTATTATCTGAGCTTTCTTCTCATTGCTTTGATCTATTTTTTCTCTATCAGCCTTAACATCATTCTGCTTAATTACTATAATTTTGCTATAATCTTTAAAATCTTCTCGTATACTATGGAGAGTCCTTTTTTCTTCTTCTTCTGAAATATTCTGATGATTGTTAAACTTTTACTCCTCCCTGTGGATTTTAGAATCAGTTTCTCAAGTTCCATGGAAACTCCATGGGCTATTTTTATGGGAATTGCAGTGAACTTTATAGGTCACTTGAGGAGGTGTAGGCTGACAACTGGGAACACGCCATGCTCTGACTATCTCTCCTTAAATTTTTCTTTAAGGAAAGTTTAAAGATTTTTCTTCACAAAGATTTTCAGATTTTCTTCTAGGGATTCTACATTTTTTTGTTCTTTGTGTGAATGACAATTTTTCCCCATGACATTTTCTAATGAGTTATTTGTGGTGAAAGGAAAGTGACCACGACACTCGGAGCAACCAAGAGATCTTTATTGTGGTGGTGTCTGATTGACAGGGAAGGAAGAGAAAGAGAGAGAGAGAGAGAGAGAGAGAGAGAGAGAGGAGAAAGCTCCAGCAGGAGAAGGTCTTATATCCCTTTCGCTGTGCTGCTTAAATCTAACAAGGTCTCTGGGCCTGCAAGCTGCCTTGTTGGTGTACAGTTATTGGATCATACAGTAGTTGCTAAGGGTATCATCTTCGGCCCTCAGGCGGATGGGGCAGGGGCCAGATGTGGGTTTCCATTGCACCAGATGGTTGTGGGTTGAGTGTTCCCCCTTTAATGGGGTCCAGTGTTCAGACTTGAGGCAAACAAGCGATAAGGAATCAGATGGGTGAGGGTCAAGTGTTCAGCCCACCCTGCAGCTGACATTTGTTCAGCCTGCTCTGCAACAGGTGGTGTTCAGGGATGCCTTTGATGTTGGTGTACTGCTCTTACATTTATAACCCCATCAAATTCTCTGATTAGATTATTATGATAATTGTCCCTGGGATTTTCCACAAAGAAAACTATAGTGTCTGCAAATAATAATTTTGTCTTTTCCCCTCTCTTACCTATTTATTTTTATTATCTTATTTCATTGGCTAAGATGTCAATAAAATATTGAATTCCAAATGTGATGGAGGTATTTGTGTCTTATTCTTGACCTTAAATCATTCATTATTTCAACATACATTTATTAAGTGTCTGTTATACAACAGGCACTTTTCTAAGCATGTAGTAAGCAAAATGGAAAGTTATTGTCATTATCAATTTTCATTTAATTCTTTAAATTCTGAAAAATTCACAGAATATAATTATTACTTATATTTTTAATGCTTTTTATTTATTTTTTTAGTTATAGGTGGACACAATATCTTTATTTTATATTTATGTGGTGCCTAGGACTGAACCCAGTGCCTCATGCATGCTAGAGGAGAGCTCTATCTCTCTGAGCCACAACCC